ACTCTTTTCTTCAAGATATAACAATAAAATTTTAAGGTACGAAATTGACATTAACATTTCCTCTTTAAATAATCACTTCCTATAGCATTCATTTTCCTAATCAATAAGAGAAATATAAATGAGATGTAGAAGAAATTACCTAAAATCAAAGAGGCTGCTTGTATCGGGTTGGGCAGATCGGCAAGAGAGGGAAGTGGAGGCGCTTAGAGGCTTCTCACACGATCAAGGAGGAAGACCGAGCAGAAGACTTGTCTCTTGCGAATGAGAGGAGAGAATGGGGTTGTATGTCGAGAGAGTGTGCGGGATGTGTAATGCAGAGGAGGCTGGATGTACACTCCCTTAGAAAGAGGCTGGATGTTGAACTGCAGGAGATGAGGGGCTGGACGTGAAACTGCAGGGAAAATAAAGGGCTGAATGTGAACTATCTATGAGGAGGGAGGTTTGAACGTGTCATGTATGAAAGGAGGAGGCTTGGACGTTTTTTTGGGTTGAGGGAGAGGGAGACTGGGTGGTTATGGGTTGAGGAAGAGGGAGAGTGGGTGGTTATGGGTTGTTGCTGAACCTTTGACCGTGGGACCGTTCGGTTGTATTTAAGGCCTTAATGATTTCGGAAATTCGTGATCTTGGCTCATTGGATTCGTCTCGTCGAGCCGTTCGATCGAGTATAAGCTCGTCAAAATCGGAGACCGTTTGTTAACTCAAATTGCGGTTTGAACCTTCCAAAAACACGCTTTGAAGCCCTTGATTTGGACTCATTTGGGCTCGGATTGGTTGATCTTGTGTCGTTGTTGTATTCCTGAGAACGCTCAGTTCGACTATAAAGTTTGCTGAAATCGGAGTGGGATGTCTCCGAATTAATTTTTGAAGTTCCAAACTTGTTTTTGCATCGAGTATCATGCCCGATTAAGATAATTTTTGACGACGTATCAATTTATTATTATTATACTTGTGACAAGTCAAAACGGGTTAATCGAACCATTGAAATTGAATTCATTTGAGTTAATTTGATTTGATTTCATTTCGATTTGTTGTGTGCAAATTTAGGTTTAAAAGAGTTGATTTGAGGTTGAATTAGAATTGGATTGAATGATTTTGATTCGAGTTTGAGGATAGTTCGGAGTCGATCTACGCCATTAGGTGTCCACCTAAAGAAATCCTAAAGGCGACGTCTACACTAGGCTACGAATACCTAGGTGCTAGAATTGAATCCGGGGAAATTGACCTCGACTAATGAGGTCAACAACAACATTTGGCTAGAAGTCGTTTTTTAAATAGCTTGCATTCACTATTATTGCCCACAAGCGGACTATAGTATATTCTCTATTCTTGCTGTAGGAGATTCTTTAAACTCGGTGTAATCTTCTTTGTCTACACTTGTAGGAAACGTTACTGCCTTTGTTAGGAGCTTTTCAAATGAATTAATGTATTCCTTAAGAGTTTCCTCATTGTTGGTTCTATCAAGCTCTTCTCATATACAAGTCTCAAACTGACTAAATGAACATTGAGAGCCTTGTAGTGTTTGAGTGTAGTTATAAGCATTGCAAGTTTTTTTATTGCCCTTGAAGGTAGCTTGTAGCCTTGACTCTTCATCTATATGTTGACCTTCAGCATCCATAAGAGACTACTATATTTACTTATGAGCTGGTTATTGTTGGTTGGAAGGGAGTCATAGTACTTGTCATGTGTGGCATGGCATACACTTGTGAACAACTTCCTATGTTATTCACCTACTCATTTGCATAATTATGCTGACTATGAAGATGTTACTGAATGTGTTCTTGTAATTTGTACACTCGTTGCAGGCCGCCTTCTTACATTGAGCTTCACTATCACTTATGAGTGATTTGTGTTTGCAAGGATTTTATATGTCAATTTGTAAGTCCTCATTTGAAGGTTTATTTATTATAAGTCCTTTGTTGTCTTCTGATTTGAGTTCAAGTGATCCTTGTAGTTATCCCAAACTACAATCTCAAGTATAAGTTCTTTGCATTCGTTCTTTCTGAGTTGAATCAAGTCCTCTTGTATTATTCAAATTCACTTCAGTTTTGAGTTCAATCATAGTCCCTTGCTGTCCAAATTTGTTCAAGTTCTATATCCACAAGTTTGAGTTCAAAATGAGTCCATGATGAGGTTCAAATAAGAGTCCAAGCTCATATTCCTTTAAATTTTAGTTCATTGAAGTTTTGCTTAGGCTCAATTTTATATTCATTTCATTGTCCAAAAGTCCACAGTTCTTTGTTCTTTGAGTTCAATCAAGTCCAGGTATTATTTCACCCAAAATTTTGGCAGCCTCCCGGCGTCTCCCCCGTTTAGGGGAAAACTACGAGAAAACTGGGCCTTTCCCACCACGCGCAATAAAGGCGTGTATGGTAGGTGTCCTCGGACAAGGACACCGCGGACGTGATTTTTTGTTCTTCCCACCACGTGCAATAAAGGCGTGTATGGGGTCTTTGACGGTACCTGTTTAAAAGACAGTTTGCTTTCCCCCCGCTCGGGGGTACTTATAAGTGACCCCGCCTAGCCGTAGGTGCTGCACCGGGGTCCCATCCCACCACGTGCAATAAAGGCGTGTATAGACGGTTTTTCGGTGCGCCACGAATGCCGAAGTAGAGTTTAGGTGATTTCCGCCTCGTCATAGGCGTCGGACCGGGGTCCCATCCCAACACGCGCAATAAAGGCGTGTATAGGCGATTTTCCAGTCTGCCGCACATAACGGAAGCGAGAATCTGAGTTCAGAAAGTCCGTACCTTCGCGGGGTTGACGGTGTCGGTTCGAGGATCGAGGGAGAGAGGTATTTTTTATTAATTATAATTAAAATTTATTAAATAAGGTTAATTAAATCATTATTCTTAATTAATCATTTATTTTTTATTAATTATAATTAATTAAAATTATTAATTAAAATTATTAAGATTAATTAATATATTAAGTTATAATTAATTTAGATTTAATTATAACTTAATTAAAATTAATTAATTTTAATAAAATATAATTAATTAATATTAACTAATAATAATTAATTTATAATTTTTTATTAATTAAAAATAATAATTTTAATTAATTACATTTAATTAATATAATTATAATTAGATTATTTATAATAATAATAATAATAATAATAATAATAATAAATCCCTTGGCTCGGCAAATTTGGCCGTGGACGCGCGTGAGAGAGAAAGTTACCTTCACTTTCAGCGAGCTCCTATTGGTGCTTCCGATCAAAAATGTCGTGACTTCCAAGCCGCAGGAAGGGAAAGTCGTTCGAAGAGCAAAGTCGGACCAGCCAAGAAGGAGATGGGGAAGCGGCGAGCTCCCGTTGTTGATCCCGATCAAAATGTCGTGTATTTCGATCCAACAGCAAGGGAATGACGTCGAAGGAGCGACGTCGTCTAGCCTCAAGGGAGCCGGAAAAGAAGCACGAAAGGGAGGAAGTTACTTCTACAGTCGCCTAGCTCCCGTTCTTGCACCCGATCAAAATGTCCTAACTTCCGATCCGTCTGGAAGAAGAGAGCCAAAGCAAGCGAGATGAAGTCGGAGGCTGTGAGGAGTTGGATTGGAAGAGGACTCTGCGTGTGTGATCGAGTGGAGAAGTCTCCCTTTCGTTTTATAGACTGGAAGATGGAGTGTGATCGAGGACTCGTCGCAAGATTTGCACAGGAAACATAGAGAATCGACTGGAGCGGTGCCGAATTGGTACATATCCATGATTTCTTGCGGGATTTCGGGCGTCTTTTCGATGTATACGAGGTACGCTGATTTTTTTGTTATTACATGGAGGTCAACATTCATATTGATATAACATTTTTTTTTTTAAACAAATGTTCATATACCGTATCCAGCAACACATTGTACTGGATGTTCCGCCTCAAATCACAGGCTAAAGTGAGAAACCTTTCCAAATGCTGTGAGGAACGCCAGAACTAACAGCATCAGCACAGAACTGGAATGCCTCCATCACTGATATTAAGAGAAAAAGTATAAAGCAGCATTGATAGTTGGTAATCATTACACTTCCTTCACTTTGCTCTAACCACCAAAAAAAAAGAATAAAAAACAGAATAACTTCCATAAACTCTTCATCCCACCTCATATTCATGCTTTAAGCAAATGATCTAAACATGTCCATGGTAATATGGAGATAGTTTCCGGTCCTTGGAACAAGACTCTGGCTTGCTTGCATCAAGAAGCATTTTGACGACCTTTCGCATGGTTGGGCGGTTAATGGGAAGTTGGCTGGTGCAGAGGAGGCCTATGTGAAGAACTTTAGTGATCTCTACCTTATGGCAGAGATCAAGTTTGGAATCTATTACGTGTTCTTCCCCTTTATTCTGTATTGTGCTGCACACCCACTTGACCAAATCCTTTTCTCCAAATTCAGGATCAACTGGAAGCTTTCCTGTTACCAGCTCCAGGATTACCACGCCAAAGCTGTAAGTGTCACTCTTTTCGTTTACACGTAGAGTGTATGCATACTCTGCAGAAGTCGAATTTAGATTAGAATTGTAGAAAATTTTGTCTTTTGATATTTATGATTCTAGTATTATTCCAAAATAGTACTAATACAAGCATGTAACAAAGATACAGAGACAGCAGAACGGAAATAAAAAACCAAACAAAGTAAAATTTGTAAATTAACGTCATCTGAACTCTATTTAAAAGCAACCAAGAACAAACTAATTACTTAGGATACCCTCTTATGAACAAACTGGTATGATTTTTCGAACCTAAACTTGGCACAAGATGATTTAGTAAAAAGTAGTTTTCTCTGGAGTGTAGTGGATCGGCGCCGACGTTGTTCTGCTTCTCAGGAATTCTTGGCACATCGGTAAGTTTGCAATTACACGGCAACCCTAACAAGCCCAAACATACGAATAAATACAACACAAGCTGATGAAATAAAGATAATTAGAACGGAACAGAAGCTAAATTAATAGATCTGCAAATCTTATAATTGATATATCATAGAAAAATTATATTAATCATGCACGAATCTCAAGGCAAAATCAAGTTGGAAACTTCCGAAATTAAAATCGGGACAATTCAAACTCCGATTTTAACAATCTTATAATCGATTTGAACGTATCGAAAATATGAACCCAAAGACACCAAATTTGACTCTATCCGAGCCCATATAGGTTTTAAATTAAAGACTCAAAGCGCATTTGGAAAGTTCAAACCATAAATTGGATGACCAAACGGCTTCCAAACATCACATGCTTATAGTCGAATCGAGCGGCTCGCGAGATGAATCAAACGATCCCAAGATCACCGAATTCTGATATCATTAAGATATTCAAATGTCCAATAAAGGTTCTATGAACAAGGGGATCAACATCGAGCCATCCATTCAAACCACTCCCACCTTACCCTTGATTTTCTCCCCATTTACTAGTCATGCCACTCTCAAAAAACAATAAATAGACCCATCATTCCTCATGGAAAGGAGGCCAAATAAAGAGGGAAAGAAGAGAGGAGATGAAGATAAATCCTTGCCACCAAGCTCCTCCTCAACCACCTTCTAGCCACCGACTGACGACAAACTTTCACCTGGCAACCGACTGACGTCGAACTTCTGTTCGGCCACCAATTGACGTTGGACTCCCAACCAACAACCAACTGACGCCGGACCTCTGCTTGGCCACCAACTGACGCTGGACTTCTGCTCGGCCACCAACTGACGTTGGACTTCCACCCGGCCACAAACAACGGTCCTTCCGACCTCTGTCGCCAGACTACGATCCTTCCAACCTCCGTTGCCCGCAGACAATGGTCCTTCAGACCTCCGCTGCCTGCCGATACGATCCAAAAATTGTTCATGAGTTTACGTTTATAATTCTCGAAATTTATATTAATTTATTATTTATAAAAATGAAAAAAATAATACAGAGTAAATAAAAGGAAAGCCATTGAGCAAAATTTTATGAATTACACCTACACATTTAACAATATTTCAGTAAATTAGGGTTGTTACGGGAACTGTACGAGGGACTTGTAACAAGGATTTAAACAATAGTGGCATTTTATTTTTTTGGGAAATTTGAAGGCCCAAGTTCAACCTATTTAATTAATCAAAATAAAAACACAATTGCAATACAAGTAAACCTGTAAAAAAAGTACAGAAAGATTACAGTAATTTCTTTACATATGTCAAAAATGAAAGAAAGAAAACTATGTAAAATCGAGTAGAAAGAATTCAAAGACACAAAATTATAAAAACCTGAAATGGGGCTCAAACATCCATAATAATAAGAAGATTATATGATAAGAACTCTGTCCCAGGAAGCCAATCGATAAATGCAGCAAATTCAGTCAACAAATGGAGGTGACAAAGTATTTAATGATTACAATTATCGAAAAAATTATCAAAGGCAATACATGAATACTTAACAAAATTCAAAGAGTTACGTGACTAGAGGCAGCTTAATTGAGTCTTTTATAAAAAGATGAAATTTCATCATCGACAAGAAGAAGAAGCTTTTATCCCACTATGTGGGGTCGGCTACAGGAATTCATTTTCTTCATTGTGTCCTGTTAAGGATCAAATTCTCATCTAAATTTAATAAAAATGGTCATTTCTAATATTTTTTAACCAAGTCCTTTTAAGTTTACCTCTGCATTTCTTAACATAAGTCAAATCTAATACATCTACTTATCTAACCGGGTCATTGGAAGGCCACCATTTTATGTGACCAAACAATCTATGGTGACTCCCTCTAATCGTATCTTCCACTGGAGTTATTCCAGCCTTTTCACGTATATGCTCATTTTGTATCCTGTCTTTAAGAGTAAAGCCAATCATCCACTTGAGCATCTGCATCCCTACAACACTTAACTTAATATTATGCTTCTCTTTTAACGGCCAACGTACTGCACCATAAAGCATTGCAGGTCTCACTACCATCTTATAGAATTTTCCCTTATGTTTGAGAGGGACTTTTCTATCCCATAACATGCCTGATGTATTCCTATACTTCAACCATCCAACTTGAATTCTACTAATAGTATCCCCATCTATTTCATCATCACTCTTAACAATAGACACAACATATCTAAAACGTGCGCTCTTATTAATGACTTGATCGCTCAAAGTCACAAGCCCTCCACTAGATCTATTATTACTAAAATTACACTCCATATATTCAGTTTTAGATTTACTCAAATGAAAGCATTTAGACTTTAAGGTTGAACTCCATAATTCAAGTTTACCTTCAACTCCCTCTCTACTTTTATCAATAAGAAGAATATCATCAGCAAAAAGCATACACAAGGGTACAACCTCTTGCAAATGTCTAGTGAGATCATCCATGACTAAAGTAAAAAGATACAGGCATAAGGCAAATCCTTGATGTAATCCAACTGAAATAGCAAAATACTTGGTCAAACCACCTTATGTTTGAACACAAGTAATAGCTTTTGCATACATATCCTTAATGACTTGAATATAAGCATCATTAACCCCTTTCTTATGCAGAACTCTCCATAACACTTTTCTTGGAACTTTATCATATGCTTTCTCTAAATCAATAAAAATCTAATGTAGATCCTCCTTATTCTCTCTAAATTTCTCCATCAAACCTCTTAATAAATGTCTAGCTTCCATAGTAGACCTACCTGCCATGAATCCAAATTGATTTTGAGAAACATTAGTGTCATGCCGCAACCAATGCTCCATAACTCTCTCCCATAGTTTTAAAGTATTGCACATTAACTTAATTCCTTCCTCTATTATTCGCACAATCTTGTGCATCACCTTTATTTTTAAAAATAAGAAACAACACACTCATTCCCTACTCATTTGGCATCTTTTCAATATTCAAAATAATATTAAGTTTAGTAAGCGAAAAAATTCCTACATATCCTAAGCATTTCCACATCGCACATACCAAAAAAGTATAGATAGAATCCACAGTCTAGAACATCATATGAGTTGAAGTCCATATAAGCAAGTTGAAGCATCAACATAAATTGTATTGCAACAACTATCAAGAAGCCAAGATCAGAAGGTAGGCACGATAGAACCCATCTAAAGTACAGTGATAAAATGTTGGGAGGCAGCATGTTCTTGAATTTCATTTTCATGTAATTTTGACAAATAAGAAAATGGATTCTCTTTTAAAATCTCATAGTTGGATCTATCTTCATCAAAAATAACCTTGTTGCGCTTAATCCAGAGATAGAAAGCAGTGATATGAGTAGCAAGAAAGAAACACTATTTGCTAATCTTGCAAGAAAAAAGTTTCAGCATGGGTGATGATTTGTGAAAAAGAGCATCCGTATGAAAAAAATTATCATTAAGAATATATTGCTATAAAGCGTCAAAAGACACTGGACATTAGTAAAACAAGAGAGCACATGTTTTAGTGTCAAAATAAAAAAAGAACACAATTTCGGTTGATATGTGATTTTTTAGAGCCAAAATGTTTTTTTTTTATAAAACCACACATTTGAATTTTACAAAACAGATATGAAAACTCAACGACAGACCCTTCAGATGAAATAAGATTTTTCCAGTTCACCAAAAGCAAATTTTGATGAAAGAGATCAGAAGATGCTTATTAAAAAAAAACTGTCCCTCACCCATCCAACTACAATTAATAGCCAAATCACTAATAGAAGTAGAAACAATTACTGTCCATCTCATTTGCATCCTCAGGCAAATTTTAAACGCCATAAAAAATAAAATCCTTTGCTTTTACAAAAGGGATGTAACCAAACCAAAAAATAACTTCAAAATCAAATTTATCAAATAAAAAAGCAGAGGGCCAGGGATCATTAAAAAAAAAAGACAAAATGGCTTTTGTATTAATCAAAGGAAAGCCCAATTCGAAATTTAAGATGAACATTTGCAAGAATTTCCAAAAAGAACAGGCTTGGCATGATTGCTTTTATCTCTTCTTTTATTCACTATTATCATGAAAAACTTTTCTAGATTAATGGAAGCTAACTACATCAATAAATATTTTAAAGCTATTACTTTCTACAACATTATGGTCTCTCACTTATACAAGCAGGTCATCTATTAGTCTTTGGAAATGTTGAATTAAAATACTATTTTTTACCTCAAATCACGTATGAAAAAGTTTATCTTGCTACTTGCCTTTATCCAAGTATCATTAAATTATTCAAGGTAAAACTATTAAGCCCGGGACATTTATCATTGCCCATGTTAAAAGGAACATATTTAATTTCTTTATCCGACAAGCTAGCATTGAGCATATATTACAATCAACTAGGGAAAGACAATCTTTAGTAGGAAGATAAGTTAAATGATCATGATCCAGTATGGAATTACTATTGAGAAGAGAAGAAAAGTGAATAATGACCTCATTCACAATATCATCTTTGGCAAATATCAATACTAAATCAGTCAATAATTTCTTCAAATACTTATTATTCCTTATTTTTAATTCCCTATTGTTCAGAGTGATGGTGAAAGAGATGGGGATATTATCAGTAGAATTCAAATTGGATGGCTGAAGTGGGGGAATGCATCGGGCTTGTTGTGTGATAGAAAAGTCCCCCTTGAACTTAAGGGAAAATTCTATATGATGGTGGTGAGACATGCAATGCTTTATGGTGCATAATGTTGGCCATTAAAAGAGAAGCATAATACTAATTGATGGTGGTGAGACATGCAATGCTTTATGGTGCATAATGTTGGCCATTAAAAGAGAAGCATAATACTAAGTTAAGTGTGGCAGAGATGAGGATGCTCAGGTGGATGAGTGGATTAACAAACACTTAGAGATAGGATACGAAATGAGCATGTATGTGAAATGGTTAGAGTAACTCCAGTGGAAGATAAGATTAGAGAGAGTCTCCTTAGATGATTTGGTCACATAAAACGTCGGCCTTCCGATGACCCGGTTAGGAAAGTAGAGGTATTAGATTTGACTTATATTAAGAAAGATAGAGGTAGACCTAAAAAGACTTGATTAGAAAATAATATAAATGATCTTTCTTTATTAGATTTAAACGAGAATTTAACTTTTAATAGGACATAATGGAGAAAAAGCATTCATGTGCCAACCCCACGCAGTGGGACAAAGGATTGATATTGTTGTTGTATAAAAATATTTAATGTCAACCTCTCAGTTTGAATGAAAAGATCAATTGGTATACTGTTTAACCCATTTATTCTCACAAATAATGGTATTTATAAGATCTTTCTGGGGTAAAAGCGCTTCCTGAAGAAAGAAGTGAATAAGAAGTTGAGATTATAGAAGTTCAAAAATTCTTTTCTAATCATCCTTTAAAGCAACAATACGGATAGATACATAAGAAAAAAAAAATCCAATTAGCAGCCTTAAGAGTAGTTTTAACATTTCAAGCTCACCTAAAAAGCAAATATTGCACATCCCCAAGCAGTTATACTCAAAGCAGAAAAAAAAGTGTCAAGTTAGTTGAGATAAGCTCTAATAATTTTTATATATGAATCTATGGTTAGGTTTATGAGTGTTACATCAGGAAATCCGGATAGGAAAGTGATCGGATGACAGGGGTTTAAAATCTTAAAGAGAGTGTATGGGCAGCTTGAAGCTAGACATTATTATAAAATGCTCTATCAATGAGGGATCAAATGTGATTATCCAACTGATGATTGTACCAACTATAGGACAAACTCGTGCTGGGGAGCTCAGTTAGATTAATTTTAAAAATACAAGAGTTGAAGTCAACTGGCATTTTTCATTCGAATGCTTGATAAAATTGAAGTCACTGAGATTAGCCAAGGACTTGAAATGGCCGAAGCAATATTAGTGATGAATTCCAATAATACATTCCTCTGTTC